TGGGGCCCGGGTTTTCCCGGGAGTTCCCTTCTGGGAACTACCCAATCGCCGATTCCCTCTCAGTTATCTACCTTCTAGTGAGTCCAGGGTGTTTTCGTTTGGGTTAAAACTTGCAGTAAGTGAGTCTATAGTCCGTTTTCAGTCCTCAATTCCTATGCAGGCTTGGATGCGGTGATCTCGGCGTCTTTACTCTGCTGCCATCTTCCAGAAGTGAGAATTATGTTTTAAAAAATAAAAGTTCTAGGTTATTATATACAAGTGGAATAATATTTTGAATTGATCAGAGCTAGATTAAAAGGGAACTATTGTGTCTAAAAGGCAGCTGGTCAACTTCTGTGAATATCTAATAAGTAGTTTGTGCAACCATGACAGAAAAGTAGTATGCCTTATCATGTATGGGATCAGTGATGATGCTTTTGTATCCTTGAAGGCTATGCTGTAACCTATGCAATCCAATTGGAAATACAATTCTTACTGAAACCTACTTCCCTAGGAGTAAACTGAAACTTGAGACTTTTAGTCAGAGCACAATAAATGGTAAGTGATTCCTTTTATCAATCAAGTTTACTTTAAAAATTTGAAATACATGAGGCTTGCTGAGGCTTGAATTGTTGGTGTGTCTCTCCATAATGCATATGTTGGACTCTTAGACCCTAGTACATCAGAATGTTACCTTATTTAGAGACAGAATCTGTGTAGAGTCAACGAAGTTCAAATGAGATCATTAGAGCAGGCCTTGATCCAATATGATTGCTGTCTTTATAAGGAGGAGAAAATTTGGATAGAGACATGTATGTAAGGGTGATGTTGTATGATGACTGGAATTATGCCCCTAACAAGCCAGGAACAAGCAGACATTAGAAGAAATGCCCAGAATAAACCCTTCCTTTGCACCTTCAGAGGGAATAAAATCTTTCAGTCACTTTATTTCAGACTTACATACTCCAGAACTGTGGAGACAAGAAATTCATGTTGTTTAAGCCATTTGGATTGTGGTGCTTAGCTCTGGTAATCCTAGATTACAAATACATTGCTGGAATGGGTAATTCAGGAATAAAATAACTAGAGATTTCCTTCAATATTGGGTATTGTAGACATACATCAGAAATTTTTATTATTTACATATTGAACTTTAGAAATATACCTTTTATGTTTGTAGGAAGCAGAGGGATGATTATCAGTAAAAGTCACATTACAAACATGTTGCTGAATAGATAAAGTAAAAAATTTCTTGTTTATAATTTTCTCAGGGTTACACAGGTGGAGTATGGAGATATGTCAACAAGATTTAATCCAAAACATAAATTGCAATGTAATCCTTTCTCTTGGACCTAGAGGATATTTACCCCGACTCCCATGTTTCATATAATTACTTTTTCGGGAAAATACTAAATATGCTTACAAATCAATATGTAGATAATAGCAAAACAGAGAACAGAGAGCTTGGAGTTTTTAGCTGTCATGGAATGGGCTATAATCAGGTCTTCCTGTTTATTGTCAGTAAAAAATTAAAATACAGCAGGTCTTTGAATAACATTGTTTTATCCAGGGTCATTTTGTTATAATATTGGTGAGAAAACAAAACTCTCAGCTGAACAACAAGGCAAGGACCTGCTTTCATTATATATTGTTTTGCTTAAAGTCAGTTTCCAAAAACCTGTTGAAGTTAAGTGAGGATGGAGGTGGTGTTCATGATTTTTGTGTGGATATTTCCAAATTCATGGCTTGAAAACAATGCTTAAATGCCACCACATAAAGGGAAATAAACTTAAGGAGTACAATCCAGGGAAACTGACCCTGTGGCAAATGACTGCTTGTTGAGTGAACAGTAGTCAAGCCCTAGAAAAAGTCATGGAGGACGGTAGGTACCCAGTATGAGAGAATGCAGTGGAAGCCTATCCAGCACTAACTCATTCAAAATGACTGTCTTTCAGAAATTCTCTGAGATATGAAGCAGCTGTTACAGCTGATTCAAATCTAGCATTAGAGAACATTAATGATAGTGTTTTGCATTGCAATATAAAAATGTCACAAATTACAATCCATTAGGATATGGTCACATATATTTTTTTAAAGTTTTATTTACTTATGCATATAGAGCTGGGGTACAGGCCAGAGGTGCAGGGGTGGTGAGAGGATTCACCTGAGAGAGAGTGGGGAGCAGAACAGGTAGATCGATGAAGTATACTGCTGAGGGGAGCAGCGGGCAGGTCAGGAGAGGTCTACAGCGCCATGTGGTCACCTCCGGGGTGGGGATCGTACTCATGCTGAAGTAGCTTTAGCTTCTCAGTGCTATGCTTTAACCCACTGCGCCACCAGGGAGAGCCTGGTCACATATTTATATATATATTTATAAATTTTTATCCAGCCAACTAATGTACATATCTCTTATCCTGAGACCTAGGTTTAAGTACAATGGTGTTGTCATAAATGATAAAGCCCCATGGATACCATCTTCAATATGGTCATGAGCAACTTGAACTCCAACACCTTTAAGTCTTGTAACATACATGAGTCCATCATCTCTGAGGAGGTCATATTGACAGGTGAGAATGTAAGTTGAAGGCAGATTCTGTAGTTGAGAATCACTGGCTAATAAGGGTGATGCTCTGATATCCATAAGTGCTGGCACTGGCAAACTAAATCTCCCAAGAATTGGTTCAGTATAAACATGGTCCTTTCTATACTTCTCAGGTAAGAGAGTACTCCAGTTAACAAATTTGAATAGATGTCTTGATTCCAGAGGCATATGTTGGTTTCTTTTCATTGCCTGGGGAAATCCTTCATGCTTGGTTAGAGATAAGCTCAGGAGCTTTATGGCTATTTCCCTTGTCAGAACTATACCATGTTCATTTTCTCTGTGCGCTGGCAAATAAGAATCAATTACTTGTAAGGATGGGTACAGTAAAGTCTGTATCTTGATCTTATGCTTTATTTTAAGATCATTTTGCACCTGCAAAAAACATGATGATGTCTCAAAAGGCAATGATTTTCAAAACACCAGGAAGAAGAAATTTGATTTTAATAACTTAAGCAAATTTGATGTAAACAAGTTGCTATAAACTGATGTTATTATTTTCACAATATTTACGTCAGTGACATGAAAAACATAAACCTCATTTCACTAGTAATGTTTCAAGAATTTTTGGTTGTATATGTGAAAGAGAGATACAATCTTAAAATAAGTACTTGGGAGGTACAGTCAAGAAGAAATGTGTAACTAGTGAAGTGATAGATGTTATCTGGACTTACTATATGATCATTTTTCAACATATACAAATGTGTAGTCACTATGCTATATACCTAAAGTGAACAGAGTGCATGTGACGTCAAAAACATTTAAATGAAAATAGAGGCATATAGCAGGGGGTAGGGCACCCTTGAGCTACCCTAGAGCAATTTGAGGGACTAGACAAGCATCCTGAGGGTGCTCATCATTCTGAGGTAACGACAGAAGTGGCAGCAGCTGCCTCCATAAACACAGTAATACCACACACTAGTCCTGGATTTGCTGTAGCAAACTGGTAACTTATCATCAATTGAGTTGGTGCATAAGGTGAGTTCAACACAGTAGGCAAGGGGGAGGGAAAATAAAGAGGAAAGCACAAAATTATGCTTTTGCCAAAATCATATAAATGCAACCAACAAAGCAACCAAAGTGAATTAAAAATAAACATACCTATAAAAATATAATGTCATTTTCTTTTTAAAAAATTGAATGAAAACTAAAGTTTAAAATATAAAATGTTAAATTTTGTTAGTTTAAAATAGTATTATTTGCTATTATGCAAAAGTCTTCAGCATCATATAAATTTTGAGAAACATTATCCAGTTATGTAAATTGGTACACAAATTAATTTTTTAAAAGCTGATAATTTATATTCTGAAACAATGGTGAAAAGTTTGCAGAGGAGATAAAATTACTAAAAATAATGAACAAACATATTGATATTCAGAGTTTGATGTAAAAGGGGGATAAGGAATAATTGTCACAGAATCCTTTTTACTTTCCAGAGATAAAGATGTGAACTATGACCCCACAGTGTGAGATGAGCTTGAAACATTATTTAATGAGCAAGTGTCTTAGCTAGAATGTGGCATCTGAACAAAAAAGCACTCTATTGCATTTCCAAGTGAAATATTCATATCTGGAGATGTATCTCTCAGTCACCACTGACTGCAGTGACTACATGAACCCTAAGGATGCACAAACTGACATCCAAAAGGCACTTTAAAGAAAGGAAAACAGTATCATGCCAGCTCCACAATGCGCCCACAAGGTGCTGGAGGTCTCCAATGATAGATTGAGAGTGAACCAAGACAAAGTTTCCTAAAAGAAATAACGCTAGGTCCAAAATCTTTGCAAAGGTCCATGGAAGATGAATTATGATCAAAAGCCCATCCTCGATGTCCTAAATCTCAGAAAGGAAACAAATGATCACACATACAGGGAAAAGGCAAAAAGAATCCACCATCTTTATCTGTCCCTAACTTTCCTTTCTGGAATGCCATTTAAAATAAATCATTTTCCCACAAATGTACTACTATTTGCCACTCTAGATCCCTGTTAGGTCAGTTGTTGCTTTGCCAAATGCTTTTTCCTATCTGCCTTCCTTCAAAATTTATTACAAATTATATTTAGAAAATACAAGATATTGGCAGGGGTCCAGCTGGTCAGATCCTCTGAGTCTGACAATTTTTCCCTAATTGAACAACTATTTTATCAGTCTGATGTACATCTTTTCAGATTTTTTCTTTACATTTTATATGCACTAATTACCATGTATGAAGGGTTATGCAGGGTTAAATCTGCAGCAGATTTAACTTCTCTTTCTTTCTTCCTCTAAACTTCCAATTTCCTGCAGTCAATTAAAAAGAAAGGTCTTCCATGATCCGTCCCTACACCTCTTTCACTGTGCTTTCCTTCTTTCCCCTGATAACCCACTTACATTTATGTGAAACAAAAACCAAGGAAATAAATAAGTAACTGCATAAACATGGGTGAATCCATCCACACCTTCTCAGGCAAGCTCAAAACCAAATATACCTGATTCCAAAGTTGAGTAATCAGCTGTTTCTACTTCCAGGAGTGAACAGGGCTGTGTCTTTATGCAATCTCTAAATAAAATATGCAGACACATTGAGAATGATCTGTGAGAATGTATCTGTTACACAATGAGTCAGGTTAAGGAAAGTTGCCAATCACGTTAAACAGGCTGAAGAAAGGTCAAGTTCTGGAATATTCTGAATGGTGAAAGAAGATAGGAGGAGTGAAAGTATCATGCCAGGGTTTGCAAACATAAAATATTTTTTAACTATTGCCCCAGATTCCAAAACACTTAGTGTCTTATGTTTACACTGGCAGCAAATAATAGGATAATCACTATTCTGTAACTATGTGTAAACTGCTTCAGACATGTAGAAGAGATTTGCCTGGAGAATTTTCAGAGTTGACACCCAACAGGAGAAATTGTCATATTATGATTAACTGATTTTAGACTTAAGCATCACTCTAACCCAGTAATAGTGGCTATTCTTTTCAACAAATAGTGCTTAAAGAAGTGGTGGTCTGTATGTGGAGAAAATGAGCTTCAGCATAAAAAAACCATAAAGTACCTGTTGGGTCACTGCTGCTGCTAATGTGGCGCCAGCGCTGTCTCCTGAAATACAGATTCTGGCAGGATCCACTCCATATTTTGTAAGAATTTCATCCTGAAGAAAAAACTTCACTACTGCGATGCTATCTTCAAACTGAGTAGGAAAGAGGTGCTGAGGAGCTAGTCTGTAGCTTGTAAAAAAAAGAAAAATTTATGTAAACCATTTTTAAAAGAACCATTAATGGGTGCTTCTATCCATATAGCTTTTAAATATCAAGTACATGCAATTTGACATGGGCTTTATACTTAATCTTCAAAAATCAAATCTGAGTTTTCCACTACCTATTTTTTTTTTTAATTAAAATGAGGAAGAAGAAATTTCATAGAGGTTTTCAACCTTGTTCATAAGGGCCACAGAAATATTATATGTGAGCGGTAAGAGGAGCATTGTGAACTCCCTAAGACCATAAACATTATTTTCAATCCAATACATTTCAGATTATAGATGTTTGCTACATTAAGTCATATTCTCAGTGAACTCGCAATCCAAACTTTAAAAAGAAAGATTGGCAAATCACCAGCAGAGCCTATTTTAGACAAGAGTTCTACTTTCTCCAAGATCACTTAGATAAAAATTCTACAAACTATCAATACACATAATGGATAGTAGATCATAGAGAACAATTTTGATTATAAGTAATATTTAAATATGTAAAATATCTTGATTATTTCTGATAAATTCATTTGTAAGGAAAGTTACCACAGCATTGTTTTCATGTACGCAAGCGAATTTTTCCCCTTATCTATGGACCAGTAGAAACAGGAAAATATCTTCTGGCAAGTTCTTTTAGCTCTTCAGAATTTTAAAATATATAAATATTTTTGCTTAATATTAAATGTTGATGAAATGATCCTTACATTTTTATTGCAAATTATATTTAGAAAATACTTAAATGTGTAATTGAAACAAATGTATCAAATATGTACCAAGAATATTATGGATTATTTTAAGCAGATTACAAAGCACTATATTAAAACTGATTTAAAAAAAGATTTCGATTACTTAAGAAGTATTAATATATATTTTAAAGATTTATTTTATGTATGCATACAGAACTGCGGTACAGGCTAGAGGTGCAGGGAAGGTGAGAGGATTCACCAGAGACAGAGTGGGGAGCAGAACAGGCAGAACTGAGGAAGTACATTGCTGAGGGGAGCAGCAGGCCAGTCAGGAGCGACCTGCCGTGCCATGTGGTCACCTCTGGGCCTGGATCAAAATCATGCTAAAGTGGCTTTAGCGTCTTAGTGCTGTGCTTTAATCTGCTGCGCCACCAGGGAAGGCCCAGTATTAATATATTTTTGTAAAGATTTATTTATGCATACAGAACTGGGGTACAAGCCAGAAGTGCAGGGGCGATGAGAGGATTCACCAGAGGCAGAGTGGGGAGCAGAACAGGCAGATCGATTGAAGCACACTACTGAGGGGAGCAGCGGGCGGGTCAGGAGAGGTCTGCCACACCATGTGGTCACCTCTGGGGTGAGGATCGAACTCATGCTGAAGTGGTTTTAGCTTCACAGTGCTTTAACCCATTGTGCCACCAGGGAGGGCCAGAAATATTAATATATTATTAAGATTATTTTAACATTATAAATTAGAAATATACCTGAAAATGGAATGCTTTTCTAGGTTACCAACAACAAAGAAAATCACCCTGTATATGACAAATTTTTCACTTAAGCTGTCACTCCAGACTTCTCTAGCTTTTAAACTAACTACTCCTACAGCCTCTAAAAAGAATCATGTCACTATAGCCTCTAAGAAGTATTGGATTGAGAATCTCCAACAAGTTTCGTTTGTTTGTTTGTTTTAAGATTTATTTATTTATTTATACAAGAACTGGGATATAGGCCACAGATACAGGAGCAGTGAGAGGATTCACCAGAAACAGAATGGGAAGCAGGACAAATTGACAGAATACACTGCTGAGGGGAGCAGCAGTGGGCGAGACAAGAGAGACTTGCCATGACATATGGCAGGAGTCACCCTGCTGGCCAAGGATCTAGTCCATGCTGAGGAGGCTGCTGCTAGTTTCTTAGTGCTGAGCTTTAACGCATTGTGCCACTAGACAAGACCCAGAAGTTACTATGGATTAGGGAAGTTAAAGAAGAAAAAATATCCTCTGAAAGATGTTGGCCCCAGACTACAGCAGTATGGATACAAATATACTGAACTGTCCTAAGACATTCTGATATATCCTAATAAAATTCAGAATGCAAAATCATTTATACTGAGAGTAGCTTAAAATTCTCAGTTGACCCCAACTTTATCTCCTATATCACTCAAAACAAAAATTATTCTAAAATAAAACATTTTATTATCAGTCCAAAAGTGGGCTGATATGGGATGGTAGGTCTATGATTTAGTTATTTTCCTCCTGTCCTTAATCCTGAATTTTATGTATCTAGAGCAACAGTGTTTCTAAAGATACTCACTCTGGAGTGTATTCACAGGTTCCCACAACTACAAGAGGATAATGAAACACTGAACCCCTTTGAGAAATAATCTGTATTTATGTGGCAACAAAATATGTTATTTAAAAACTGTTTTAGAAATATAGCTGACTTGATTTAGAAACCAAACTTCTACTTTGTGGAGGAAACCTCGGTAGTGGGTGTGGTGTGTGATAACACACTCTGAAGGGGTATAAGCCTATAGCTCTGAATCATACACAGTGTCATAAACCCATGTTACCTCAATTTTTAAAAAAGCATAGTACTCCAAGGAAAATGCTCTTACTCTAGGGCCACAACAACAGCATCAAGTTTGTTTGCCGTCCATCTATTCAGGAAGTCAAAAGACCGCTGTTCTGAAAAAAGAAATAAAAGTAAGTAAAGAGAAACAGAAATGCTTGTAATTATGAACTTGGAAAGAGATGTGACTTGTGAGTGTTGCAAAGGAACCTTTATTTCCTGCCTGTTTTCATGTAGAAGGAGTTGAATCAACATGACACATTGTAGGAGAGGCTCTTCAATAGCTATTTCCAGGAGTAAAAGATGACCTGAAACTGCTGTTCTGGGGCAGGAAAACTCAGCTCAGTCCATTATAATTTCTTCTTAGCACTGCTGTCTGCTTTCACTAGCCATTGTGGGGTCCAGTGCTTTCTATTCTGTTCTGTGTGTCGAGGCTGCAAGTCGCAGAGGGAGAAGGTTTGTGATTGGTTAGCTGGGCTCCAGATGAGTTCATTTCTCACTCAAAAGTGATCTATCATTAATACCTAAACACACATTTGCCTAATCTTCATTAAAAATAACAGTCATGTGGCCCTCCCTGGTGGCGCAGTGGGTTAAAGCACAGCACTAAGAAGCTAAAGCCACTTCCGCATGAGTTCATGAGTTCAATCCCCATCTGCCCGGAGGGGATCCACATGGCGAGGCAGACCTCTCCTGACCCGCCCGCTGCTCCCCTCAGCGGTGTACTTCCTCAGTCTGCCTGTTCTGCTCCCCATTCTGTCTCTGGTGAATCCTCTCACCCTCCGCATCTCTGCCTGTACCCCAGTTCTGTATGAATAAATAAATCTTTAAAAGAAAAAATAACAGTCATGCATGTGGAGTTCCCCCAAATTACTAAAAATGGAGCTACTATATAACCCAGAAATTTCACTCCTAGGAATCTACCTAAAGGACAAGAAAACATTAATTCAAAGGGAAACCTGCACCCCCATGCTTACTGCAGCACTATTCACAAAAGTTAAGATAAGGAAACAACCAAAGTGCCCAAAACAGATGACTGGATCAGGAAGATGTGGTATATATACCCAATGGAATGTTATTTAGCAATCAAAAATATAAGTTCATACCTTTTACAGTAACATGGATGGACCTAGGAGGTACCATGCTCAGTGAAATAAGTCAGGGCAAAAAGTAAAAATATTGGATGGTTTTAATCATAGGAAGAGCCAACTGAAGGGTCAAAAAAAGAATAAAGACAAAACTTTCAAGCAAACTGTAGATCTAGAAATATAGCAGATGAAGGGGAGGGAGAGAGGTCAAAACAAGGATGAGCAGAAGGGACTGTGGTGATGATGGTTCATGGGTGAAGTGGTGGTGGGAGATCTATGGGGATATTGATTTGTTGCACAAAAATTAATAACAATGTAAGGATAAAATAACTTAAAAAGAAATAATGATAATGGGAAAGTCTGAGGGGAAGGTGACCGGCGAGGAAAATCTAAGGTACACCAAAGAGCACTGGACTCACAAGACACTGTATACATATAATGTTCAGGGCATCAAAAACAACTCTTTAGGGTTGAAATAAAATTACTGAGAATATAAGTTAAATAATGTAAGACTCCGGGAGCCTGAACATTGGCTGAGGGATTTACATTTATTTCACTAAGTGATGAGAATCACTGAACAATTTTATCAAATATATATAATATCACCACATTTACAGGCAAGAAGAATCCAAAGAATGAAGAGTAAAAGATGAAATAAAGTTGAACAGGAAAGAGACAGAGACATTAGAAAGGAGTATCTGTAAAAGATCATGAATTACTGAATTTTATTAATGAGGTCAAGATGTTTAGAACTGGGAAGAATGGAATAAGGTCATTTAATATGAGAACAGAGGAACAGTAAAAATTGACCATAATAACCATTTACTGAGAATATTCAAGAGGTTGAGATGTTGCTATGCATAGATGGTGGCTTTATTGTTAGTTCTCCAAGGATGTTTTTAAATTATGAAAACTAAACTTGATCTTGTAGCAACCAACAGCATATGCTTTGATTTACTATTTAAAACATCTTCATCACTTCAATGTTTTTTCTCATGAATACATTCTGATACCAAAGAAAAAAAGGTTTGCTAATTGACTTGTTCGTGTCCAACTTTCACTTACATATAGTTATATAATATATGCAAGTATATATCAGTATGTAATTTTACATAAAATAGTTTTTATATCATTATATTCTGCCAGTGATACTTTTTTCTTATGTGATGAACTTAACTGAAACTTCCAAAACAGTAAGCTCCCCCGTGAATGTAGATTACAGCTCGTCTGACAGCCTCTGATTTTCTCTTCGGTAAATACAGACGTACTGGAATGTCAACAAATGCTGTATCAGTCACTGTGATATTCTCATCTGAAAGTGGCTGGGTGTAATCCAATCTGAATATAATGGAAATAAACTCTTCATATCTCATAATGCCTATATTTTCAAAACACATAGCCTATAAGAGCAAAACAAAATTAAAAACATGTCATCATTAAATAATTTCAGATGCATAAGAGAAAATTAAATAAAGAATATTTACAAAAGCTATCCCCAAATAATGCTATATAGATCATAGTGCACAAAGGCACATAGTGCCTTTGAAAATGTCAACAAATCTGTATGTTAGATTAATAATGATGGCATTCAAAACTGTCAATTTACTTGGATTTTTTCTTTTTTTAATGTCTGCCACAATTCCTTCCTTGTTATTCTTACCTGAAATTTTTCCAGGTTCCATAACATCTTTTCATTCTCTTTTTGTAAGTTTGCTGTCATATTTTTCCTATTTTTGTTCACTGTATTTCATCAAAACTTTCAAGCGTCATTTTTTCACTACACTACTACTGCTGCACATTTCCTGACTTTCAACCGCAAACAGATTTGTGTCTCTCAGCCTCCCACCCACACCACTAAAATCCAGGAATGTGGTGTCACTGGGAAAAGCTTTGGTATATGTGACAAGCTTTTTCTAGGACATGTCATTGAATAGTTTATACAAAAGAAAATCCTTGAAAATCACATGGTCCACAGTAGTTAGACAGCCTTTATTATGACAATTATTCCAAAGAATTTCAGGTCTTTGGGAAAATCTAGTCCCTATATTTAATAATGAGAAATGATGCAGAAACTCTAATCAAAATTGACCTACATCCATTTTTTGATGATCCTTTTGTACCACCAACTCATCTTAAGATCTTAAGCAAATTAATCTACTTGTTTTCTTAACCATATAAATACAATAGCAACAATAAATCCCTCAGTGGGTCATAGTAGGTTTTATATGAGTTAGAATTTTTAATGCACACAGAAGAGTGGATAGTAAATGTAAGTATTCAATAAATTTGACTTGAGTATCTTGCCAAGTAAGAATGCCTGAGAACTTCCATGCCACTTGAATATGATCAAGCAGAATATCCCTTTAAGCAAGCTTTTGGTAAATGAATAACTTAGGTTAATTTTCCATTTGGTGCACTCATTTTTAAAAATTAGATTTCTGGGCCCTCCCTGGTGGCGCAGCGGGTTAAAGCACTGCACTAAGAAGTTTAAGCCACTTTCGCATGAGTTCAATTCCCGCCTGCCCGGAGGAGATCCACATGGCGTGGCAGACCTCTCCTGACCCACCCGCTGCTCCCCTCAGCAGCGTACATCTTCAATCTACCTGTTCTGCTCCCCACTCTGTCTCTGGTGAATCCTCTCACCCCCCGCATCTCTGGCTTGTACCCCAGTTCTATATAAATAAATCTTTTAAAAAATTAGATTTCTGGCAAATTGTCTTATCATTTCTTAGATATTTTCTGTTTTTGAGCCCATAAATAGTTTTTGAAAAAAAGTTGCTAATTTAGAGATAACTCTGCTTTTATATAATACATGATACAGGAAATTTTTCAGGGTAGGACAAACTTGCTTTTACTAAGCTCTACCATCTAATTTAACATGACTAATAATAATGCATTTATTTTTCAAGGCTACTTTGTCAGGAAGTCTGTTTCACTTCCCTTTCATAGGTTAAAGGAAAAATTTTTTTTTACTGGTCCGTAATTTTGAAATACAATGTTTAATGCTAAAAAGAGTAAGTTATTTTTCCTTGAACACAAAAACTATAAGTTTTACCAGAATAATCTTTAATTATATATGTTTTCCTTCTTTTTAGAAATAGAGGACAATCCATAGAGAATACCCAATATATTAAGTGCATAGTTTTAATACAAGTGCCAAGAATAAGTTACAGTTGGGAAAGAAAAACTAGATTTTAAATGGAATATTCTGCTAATGTAATTTTGAATCTCATTTCACCATTAGTTATTTTGTGTTTTAAAATTAATATGAAATAATCAAGCCAGACAACAACATCCCTGTGAAAATGACTTGTTTAGCCATGTCCTCATTCATTTTCAATCAGGAGTAGAAGTATTAGAGAAACAGTTTGGTGCCTATGAACTTTAGAAGTGATGGAAGAAAAATATATGAGGACTTATACCAAGCTAGCAGGTGGCTGGGGTTTCACAGAAGTGCCGTATGCCTCTCCCTCTCATGCCATCAATTATTCTGTTCATCTGCTGTTGCTTTCGCCTTTCAGCTTCCTACTGCAACTAACATTAGAGAATCTTTCTGAAAGTCACCTGGTTGACTGGATGACTATGGGTCTAAATTGAGGCAGTCTGGATTCAAAGTCTGATTTGCTAGCTGTCACTTTCTATCAGAATGAGTTTTTCTAAGCCTCTTTTTTAAGCCCTGGTTTAAAAAAAAAAAAAATTGAAGAGCATAGAGATGAGTGGAGGTATAATTAAAGAACCAGTATGTTCTAAAATCTCAAAAATATCTTCTCCATATTAAGAAGATATTTTAGCTTCAACTCATAGCCACCATGGATATCCCATGTCAGACACTCTGTGAAGTCCATAAATTTAGACTGAAGATGAACAATGAAAGCCACTAAAATAGTAAGTTCACTAACTTAGTAATAGGTACAAGCCTCAATAATGTTCACCTGTCTACTATAATTATGTAATTAGTTTTCCCTGAAATTCAAATGTAAGTCATTAGAAACTTCAAAGATTTTCTCTTCAAAAGTGCCATTTATTTTATGGATAATTTACAGTCTTTACATTTAGAGCATTTCACTCTTTTTGCATGAATGTAACAAGTTTCACTTACTTAATTCTACGTGATTGATTTGGTCTAATAGTCAGTGAATACTGCAAAATAGGTAGTAATAAAAAGTTCATAAACATTTATAGTCAACAGGTATCCCAATATCCAGGGGAAAAAAGGATTAAACTTACCACAAATGTACACGTTTTAGCAACCACATCCAAGGCTATCACTTTCCAGAGTTCTTCAATGTTGCCAGGTAAGGTTATATAATTATGAGAGGCAAGGAGAACACAAAACAGCCCTAGACAGAGTGTTTTGGGCCCCATACTATGCCTTTTACAGCCTCTTCACAGTGCTGAGATTACAAATATCCCATAAATATTGAAGCAGAACATATGTACGAAAGAAACTCTCTCAGGTAATATGATCAGCTTAACAATACAAAGTTAAATTTCAATTGGAAAATGATAGTCATTAGTAACTTGTTCTGCAAATACACAGATGCCAAAACAGATGTCCTAATTCATCATTTCTTGCCTGTATAATTAGCATGCAAAGAAAACCTCCCAGTTTCTTCACCCTGTGATGCAAGCATCAACTCAAAGCAACTTTACTGTTGACACATAGATCAGAGATTATGTGAGCTATAAAAAAAATCCCTAAAGTAAAATTTTGTTTGGTTACTTGCAACATTTTATGAAGTTTTTTCTTAAAAAAATTGACATTTACTCAAAATGTGTTCTAATACCATTTGTACAGATAACTAGCCATGTTAATAAACCCTACTTGCTGGGGTGGACCTGGAAGAAAAGATTAACTAAGCTTTCATCAAGCTGGAACTTCTTAATAGCTCAAGTACTACAAGGCTGAATACGCGTATCTCAGAAAACATTTTTTTTTCTTTAAAAATCACAGTGGGGCCCTCCCTGGTGGCGCAGTGGGTTAAAACACAGCACAAAGAAGCTTAAACCACTTCCGCATGACTTGGATCCCCGCCTGCCCCGGAGGTGACCACATGGCGCAGCAGACCTCTCCTGACCCACCCGCTGCTCCCCTCAGCAGTGTACTTCGTCGATCTGCCTGTTCTGCTCTCCGCTCTGTCTCTGGTGAATCCTCTCACCCTCCGCATCTCTGGCCTGTACCCCAGTTCTGTACAAATAAATAAATAAATCTTTAAAAAAAATCACATAGTGACTTCAGTCATATGATTAAGTGATATATATTTAAAAATCTACACTAGTAATTTGGACTAGCATAGCAGGAAACATCCAGCACAAACTGAGGTCCTGACAGTGACCTGTCCTTAAAACCAATCACCTATATGTTTTTCCCCCACTCTGTGGCATATTTTACTGTTCTTTATTGAAGAGTCCAAAAGCCCACTGTACTCATATTTTCAGAAGACCAAGTTTATTTCTGGAAGAACTTTTGTGAACATGTATCCTGCCTGACCATCGTGTTCAACCATGGTGCTTCTGAACATCGGGTCTCAGGAAGTTAGGTCGTTTCTGGATCTGCTCAGAGGATCCAATAAGCTTTGGATTCTAGTGCAGTTAGAAACTGCAGATCCAGGAGGCACTGGAGGGTTCCATGACCTGCTTCCCTGACTCAAAGTTGCCTGTCCCTTTGCAGTGCTAGAGCAGCTTCCCGCAGGACAGTGGAGCCCTCCTGAAGATCTCGATGGGTTATGCCTGGTAGAGCACTAAGCTGACAGTTCTTCCTGGAAATCCATGTTTACCCCAAATGATGACCGGTGGTCAGTCACCAGTCTGAGCCTGATCAATGCTTTGATGGATGGAGACCCATCTCTTATCCCTGGCATGAGGTCAAGGAAAGAACATGAAGGAAATGCACGGAGGAATGCTGTGTCCTCCTGTGGGATGTGCAGAAGCACATCTACTTAACTGAAATTAATTAAATGTTAGATTAATGAAAATGTAAATCCATTAATGAGAAAGTAAATATGTGGAGGAATCACCTAAACTTAGAACTTGGGGTTATGATAGTGATTTTTGGAAGCAAAAAATTGTTGGAAAAATGTAAAATGTTAAGGCCATCCTCTTTTACTAACATCAAGGCAGGAGAAGTAAGGCAATGCCACCCATTAAAGGACATACCTGGGTACAAGGATAATGAGAAAAGATGTTTCTTTCAAGAATTGACTTAACGAATCTTGATTATCAAATTGTTAACACAGAATTGTTCATAATATTCCTTTGTTATAAATTTAATGTTAATGAGCTCATATAGCTTTCATTCTGTTATTAAGAATTTGGCATCAGCGGGTTATGACGTAGCACTGCAAGCTGGCCACAGTCTCAGTGCGAGTTCAATCCCCAGCCCTGGAGGTGACCCACATGGTGCGGCAGACCTCTCCTGACCTGCCCGCTGCTCCCCTCAGCAGTGTACTTTGTTGATCTGCCTATTCTTCTCCTCACTCTGCCTCTGGTGAATCTTCTAACTGCCCCTGTACCTCTGGCCTCTACCACAGTTCTGTATGAATAAATAATTCTTAAAAAAAAAAAAAGAATTTGACATCAGACATTCCCTTTTCATTGTGCTATTGTGGCAAATTTGATTTACAACACTGTACAGGATTCAATGGTATAGGATCCTATCACTTCAGGTGTCTGTCACCACAGCACACCACACCTACCACCAAGGTACCCATAGTCCCACACAAGAGTCCATTGGGGGAAGTCCATTAGCTTTGCTCTTCACTTTCTTCTTCTAGTAGCTTTGTTTTCCATAATCTTATTTTTAGAGTGTGTTACTGTTTGGTTTTGTCAGCTGCTTTGTTTCCTTTCTGTATATTCCACATGTACGTTGAAACCATCTGCATTTGCCTTATTCCTTCTGAATAATTTGGCTAAGCATTATCTTCTCCAGTTACATTCATGTTGTCACAAGTGGTAAGTTTATCTTTTTAAAAAACCAAGTAGTAGTCTGTTTTATATATCTCACATCCTTTTTAATAAGTTTTTTTATTTAATTAACTTTCTAAATGTAATTTTTTTCTTACATCACTGTTAATTTTTGGACAGTATATGATTTCTCCCCTCAGATGTGGTCACTGTAGCTGTCCCACCACCAAAGCACTGATAGTTCATCAAAATAGTTCATATGTTCCTTCCCCATGCCCTTCCTAACACAGTTTCACCTCACCCCCACTCCCCTCTATCACATCCTCTTAACCCACAAATCCATCCTTAGACACTAGCTTTGTTTCAATAACTTAGTTAACTGCAAATAGTGCTACAATTAACAGACATGTACATATATCCTTCCTAATTAGTGTTTTTTCACTAAATTCAGGTAAATACTAAGGAGTGGAATTGCTAGATCATATCATAAATCTATTTTTGATTTTGGGAAACCATCTCACTATTTTCCAGAGGGGTTACCTGTCTACATCCCTACCAACAGTCTGCTAGAGATCAGTTTTCTCTACATCATCACAAACACTCATAGCTTCTGATATTTTTTATGTGGGCCATTCTTACAGATATGAGGTGCTATCTCATTGTGATTTTGATTTCCGTTTCCCTGATAAGCAATGAGAAAGAAGCATTTGTGCTGTTGCCAACTGTATATCTTCTGTAGAGAAGTGCCTATTTAGCTCTTCTGCCATTTTTTTTGATTGGGTTAGTTTTCTTTTAGAAGAGTTGTATGAAATCTTTGTAGATCTTTGATATCAGTGGTATACAATCACTTTGCAATGATCTAAACAAATATTAGATAACTAATATAATTCTTATGCTCCTTAAACTTACCAACTTCAAATTTTAATCTTTCTATTCTGACATATACTAAATGACTTGTTAATTTGTTACTTAAAGATATTGTTTTAGCCAACTAATATACAGGTCTTTCACCTTAAAGCCTTCACTTAAATGGAAAGGCCATTAATGATAATGTTCCATGGATTCCATTTTCTAAGTGGTCGTGAAAAACTTTAAGTCCAACGTTCTGATGTTGCATAACATAATATGTCCATCATCTCTTAGGCATCATACTGACAGGTGAGGATATAAGTTAAAGGCAATTTTTGTAACAGGGAATCATTGGCTGTCAAGGGTGATAACCTACTATCCAAAAGGAGTAGATATGAAAAGTTATATCTTCCAAGAATCCGTTCAATATATACATGATTTTTTCTAAAAACCTCAGGAAGGAAGATACTGTAGTTTAACAATGTGAACAGGTGTTCTGACCCCTCAGGCATGTGTTGGCTTAACCACATTGCCTGCCGCAGTGTTTTATCCTCAGTGATATATAAGTGTCTCATTCTAACCATCAAGATCCTTGACAAAATAGGACCATATCTGTATTCTCGATAAGATGGCAGGAAGGAATCTATCATTTGTAAGCAAGGATAAATTAAAGGTTGTGCCTTAAATTTATTTTTCAATTTTCGATCATTCTGAATTTGAAATAAATTTAAGAAAAAAGGTGAATGAGTCAAAGCCTTCCAAACTGTAGAAGCAAGGTGCTTTACTAAAGTTACATGATCATTTATGAATTAAATAAACTATTGGTTTATATTACATAGTGATTATTAACATAATATTTCTATTTACAGGGCATGCAAATGTGTCATCCCCTTCTCAACAAGCAGTGATACACACACAGACACAATATTCTTGTTCACAGAAACCAATAAAAATGTAAATATATGAATTTTGAGGGAAGATAACAAGTTTTCTATTTTTAAAAATAATTTTTGACATAAAATAATCTAAGGGAGAAGGGTGAATGAAGATAGTTATAAAACACCAGTGCCAGAAATCACGTAAATAAAATTCAAAATGAAGTGGACTGAGTTAAAGGAGATATCTCAATATACAACTTGCCTTCTGAAGAAATTAGTACAGGACGATGGGAAATATGCAGGGAAATTTACAAAAACTTAGAAGTTTTAAGGGAGACCATTTAGTTTTTTAAATTACAGTGGTAATTCTTTCATAGAAGCAAGACACATGTCCCAAATGTTTTCTGATGACACTCTACTGGGTCTAAAACACGGCTTACAATTCCAAATGCCTGAGAAAACTTACAACTAACCTAAGAGTAACAAGTTCTTTGTCATATTAAACAGAATTTACTAGTCATACTTCTTTTTTTCTTAAAATTAAGTGGTGTAAATAAGAGGCTTAGTTGGCTTTTTACAGATTCAGCTTTGTAAAGAAAATATTTCTTTCAAAATGCCCTTTGGCAGAAAGTTTACATGTACTTGTAACAAGACAGCCCAATTCCCCCCCCAAAAAAATTTACCATTATTGAGATTATATTTATGAGTGCATCCATGACTCTTATTTTCCAGGGT